ATGGAGAAAATTGTTCACTTTCATAAGTTGGAGGCTACAATTTTGTTCAACTACTCTATTATTATTGTGACCAACAAACTTAATTTTCTCGGTTAAGATATATATGGCTTTCAAGGATTGAAATATGGTAAAAATGTGTAATCTTGTTGAGATTTGGACTCAACGTCATAGGAATTCATATCTTGTCTTCTTTGCATTGTGTTATACCACTACCATTGATGATCAACAGCGACGAAAATATTATCGTTGCTAAGCGCGTCGCATGAAAGCCGTCGTCAGTGGACGCGCACGACGAAAACGCTACCGTCGCTAGTTCCAGCGACGAAAAAAGATATTTTCGTCGCTCGAGCTAGCGACGAAATTGATTTTCGTCGCTGATTTTAAGATTATTTATTTTCGTCGCTGGAATTATATTGTGACGCTATATTTTCGTCGCTGTTTATTTATTATATATATATTTTTTACTTGTACGTTTTTTCCTTTCTTATGGTGACATTATGCGATTTCGTCGCTAAATAGAACGACGTTTTCATTATTTCGTCGCTAAATAAAAACTAAACTCCAATATTAACTACTTAATATTGCTATATTTCCTGCAATCATAAAAAATACGATAAATGATAATATAGAAATAATAAATCACACTAAACTTTATAATTAAACATAGTGTAAATACAAAATATCCAAATTTGAAAAGCAAAACATATGTTATGTGTCAAAATATAAGTCTTTTTCACATTCATCTAATATAATAATAGCAACAAGTTTACYGAATYTTCGAATCCTKACAAGTTTATYGATTAGTTTCAATCCTGCACAAATAATTTCATGTGATCAATGTTTTTGACCTTAAAAATACATCCAAAATCAAAATGATAATATATAATATAACAAAGTACACATAAATACATCCATGAACACACATCTATATTCAAGCTCGACCAACAAACTTTAACAATAAAACATCACATACATCCAAAAGTTTAAACTCCCCCTCCCCTATATAACGAATTTCATTTTCACAAGTTTCAAGCTCCAATGATAAACATAAACATAAACCACTTCCATATCTTTCATACTTCAACTAAACATCAAATACATCCAACAAAATTCAATTCTCATTCAAAAGCTCCCCATCTCAACAACTATATAACAAACTTCATATTCACAAGTTTCAA